GATTTAACTGTTGTTGGTTTTCGATACTACGTTGCCCTAAATTTTTGATACTCCTTATCTCCTTTAATGAGGACATCTAAAAACTGTAACTTTGACTTATCCGGCGTAAAATCTGGCAATGATTTAGCTGCTGTTGGTTTTCCAAAAAGAAGTTTCTGTACAATATATTGAAACGTTACGTAGAGGACATAATTTTAGTTTTAGAATTAGATAAGGATCAAATTAATGAATTAGTATTGTATCTAAATAAAATTGACAAGAATATTCAGATCACGTCTGAATTTGAGAATGAGTATCGAAAACCAACAACAGTTAAATCATTACTAGATTCAAGGTCGGATCATAACGAAACAATTAAAGAGAACATAGCTAGTTATATGATGAATAAAATAATGATGATAAATAAAAATGAGATTAACAAATCAGAAATCACAGCTGTTTGTCAATTATTGCTAAATAGTAGTTATCCTACCTCTGTCACAAAAACAATAAAGAATAAAGTTAGAAATCTTATAAAACACCACAATATTAAGAACGAAGATAGCGGCATATATACTTCCACCGTTGTTGTACCACACTTGAAAGGCATGATGACAGAAAAGCTAAAACAAAATTTGAGAAAAGAAAATGTTCGAACATTTACAAAACACTCAAGGAATATAGGAGATATTTTGAATAAAAGTAGAATGATAGCATGCAACCAATTTGAAACGGAATCGGAAAATTGTATAGGATGCAAAAATGCTATTTATGGCATTTACTGGGAATGTAATTCATTGTATATAGGTGAAAGTGAGTGTTTCGATAGGAGAGTTAAACAGCATGTGAATTACATAATCAAAGCAAAAGTTGAATTGTCAGAGATTGCTAAACATGCTGTTGCATGTAAAAAAATAGAAATAAAATTCGAAGAGAGTGTCATTTTCGACAATGAGTCAAACATTTTCAAACGAAAAAGATAAGAAAGTGTATATTCTATTGCCAACAAATCGTACAACAATAAAACAAGAATCAGTCATCAGTGGAGACCAACAATAGATAGATGTATAAAAAGAGACAGTGATAGAATGTACAAATAGATAAAGAAAGAAAATGAAACTAGTTTAAAAAGCATGAGAAGAGAAAGAAGGAGAAAAAATAATCCAGTAAAAAAGAAAAGAAAATACGAGGTACGATGTGAGACGACAGATACTAAGAAAAATATATAGATAAATCTTATGTATGATGATGTTTATCTATTCTATTAGTGTATACGTCATGTTAACAGTGTTTTTCAAATTTTGAAAAATTGTTATAATTTTAGATTGTGGATCTATAAACTAATTCGGTTTTAAACTACTGAGGATGACATATTAACATATCGAAACGTTTAATTAATATATAAAGTTAACATATATTTATTAATAATTGCGAAAGAAAAAAAGTTCAGAAAAACGTCTCACCTAAATTATTAACTTCTTAAACAATGATAGCAGTTATTATGAGAAAATAGATTAACGTTTTTCCCTGTTATGGTCTCTCTTAATAATGTATAAGTGTTGCATAACTTCTCAGTTAAATGGTAAAGTGAAAACTTTGACCAATATCTATAGTCCGGAAAGTTCTTAGATGGATCTAGCCTCGAATTCATTACACTTACTATTGTTCACAAATAAAGTCGAAAACGCACATAGTACTAAAATTTTGTCTTCTACTTTATAGATTACATCAAAGCATGTACGGTAATAGATTTAACGAAAGAACAACTGCTGAAGAAATTATTGATCAGCTAAAAATACGTTCTGATGGTAAATATGCTTTGATTACTGGTGGAACTGACGGTATTGGTGCGGAAACTGCACGGGTTCTTTCCAAATCTGGTGCACACGTGATTATTACCGGTCGTGATTTAACGAAAGGTCAAACTGTTGTTGATAATATTAAACAAGAAACAAATGGACACATCGATTTGTACCATCTCGACTTAACTTCATTCGCCTCTGTTCGTGTATTTGCTCGACAAATTGTTGATCAATATCAACACCTTGACTATCTTATATTAAACGCAGGACTTTTCGGTCATCCATATGAAAAAACTGTTGATGGTTATGAAATGCATTTACAAATCAATCATTTATCTCAATTTTTATTGACTCAATTATTATTACCACTGCTATTAAAATCGTCTCGCTCTCATGTGATTGTTGTTTCATCTGCTATGCATAAAAATTTTGGTATTCAGTTTGATGACTTAAATTTTGAAAAACAAGCATATAGTAGTTGTAAAGCATATGCTCAATCGAAAACAGCCAATATTCTGTTCGCTAAACAATTGAATAAACTTTATCATTCAGAAGGTGTTGTGTCAAATTCTTTACATCCGGGTGTGATTAAAACACGCCTACACCGTTCGTTTGAATCGGATGAATCTGCAAATATGAAAGGAAAAGTAAAATATGATAAAAGTGTTCAACAAGGTGCAGCAACAACGATTTATGCGTGCTTTGCATCCGACGATAAAGATTTATTAGATGGGGGACAGTATTGTGCCGATTGCCAAGTACAAAAACAAGTCGTCAATGGATGGAACGGGTTATTTCCGGATATTGGTGCTATCATGAAATTAAATGAAGGGCAACAAATAAATGTGAGTCATAGTATAGCAAGACATGCCACATCGATGGAAGATGCACAAAAATTATGGGAGCTAAGCGAACAAATCACTGGTTCCGCATCAAAATCAAATGAGTGACAATTTTTAGAAATATTCTTGATGACATTTCTGTAATATTTTTATTATTTTTATTATTGAACAAGTTTTATGACCATTTTGAGAATATGGAAGGTGTACGTACCAATCTTACACACGAAAGTAGCACTAACACAAGATTATGAAACATGTCGTTTTCTCATGATAAGGCACATTCAAAGTGCGCTTTCTCTCTTGGATGAAGTTGCCGATTTCATTTAAACGAGGAGGTCTAACTTTTGGTTTGCTTTAATGATTAAACTTCAACATCCATTTTACTTAGTCGAAATCAACGACATCCATTTACGCACGACTATGCATTAGAGCTGGATTAGTATAATAATCAGGCACAAGCTGAATATGGAGCGTTTCTTAGATATCGTTTACTTTTATATAGCCTTCATTTTGTTGAAATATAAAAATTGTGTAGGTCTAAACTACGTAGTCTTTGTCGATATCTTTACTTGTCAACTTCGTGACACCTTTGAATTGTTACTAAAAATAAGCACACTTTAGCTTACGTATGGAAATTACAATAACTAGGGCATTACACAAAAAGAAAGATAAATTTTTGTCAAATTTACGAAGGTTCTGTAGAGAAAAATGAATCTATATGTTTGTACCTATGCATAACCACGGTACAAAGTCATTTCTTCTCTATTACATACACTTTTAGTTTTGGATGAAAATTCTTCATACGTGTTTACCCGTGAATCAATATTTTCACGCGTGTAATGCAAACTGTGGTAGGTTTACATTTTATCTAGCAGTCGTTTATCAGCAGAACTTTTCTCGAATAATCTCGAATTGTTATTTGTGATTTTATTGTCATTTTATGAAGGAGTTTTGAACCCAAACTTTAAAATTCACAAAATCTCAGAATATCTTTCATCTGTTAACCTTTTATAATGATGCAGAGAAGATAGCAGGCGTTGTATACATACTAAAAAACAAGAATAAATACGTATGGAAATTACAATAACTAGGGCATTACACAAAAAGAAAGATAAATTTTTGTCAAATTTTTCAGATGAAGATTTTTCAGACAAAGATTTCTATTACTTTTTTTAATTTCTTCAGCCCTTATTTTCAATTTTTTCTCTCACCTATACAACCTTTTTCTTCTAATGTGTTCAAATAGTTATCAATTTTAATGCCTATATAACTAGCACTCTTCTATGCCTTCTATCTTGTTGTTACTTGTTATGACTATTAAGGCCACTATGGTCTGTTTGTCTGCAAGTCTTTTAAAAGCGTTGCAGTCGCGATTGCCCGTGAGTCACAAACAAAAATTGAACAAAGTGTTTTGTTTGAAATTGAATGCGATTTTGCATTCAGTCATTTTAGCCCATACAAGAGAATTTAGTCATACACCTGAGCAGCAAAACGTTCTATCTAATATAGGAACAACATTTGAGACTTTGTCTGTCAGTAGTCAACATGATGATGAGTCGAATCGTTTGGGTTAGTAAAATTAAGGGCTACAGATGAAGAAACAAACGTAGCCCAATCGTAAGTATATTCAAGAGAATAGAACTTTGCGTAGAGGTTCTTGAAACCCCCTCCCCTAAACATAGACTTTCCCTGCAAATCTTTTTCAAAGTTCATCAACTAGCCTGCCTTCTTCACTTTTTCGAGCTCTACCGGGCTACAGTACAGTACTTAATAGTTAAATTTATGTTCTAAATGAAGCAAAAAAATACGACAGAACTACCGTTTTCATACGTTTAAGTTTAGAATTTTATAAACTTGGAAGAACGGATTTTGAACAGCTGAAGACTTTAGAATGCATGTCATTTGACGTGCTCTATCAAATTATACTAAAATTTGGGCTTAGTATTAAGGTTTAAAATTTTAGAAATTTTATAACAACTTTTTAATTTTCTTGATATATAATTTAAAGCATTCATCACACCTTTCTCACTGAAACACGGGAACATGAAAATTTTTATAGCTTTTTTCAAACAAGAAGTTAAAGGTTCAATTTGTTTTTCTGTAGCGCTCCTGTATGTCCTTGATATTCACAAATTGTTTCAGCCATTCGTCAGGTTTCGTTCCCAAGTTATCGAATTTTTGAGTTCTTAAAGGATTCATCCTTTAGCACTCTAACATTAAAATGACTGTGAAATCGTCAAAACTTGATCAAAACTTTTGAAATGTTCGGAGCTAATATAATTTCGTGTGTCATATCTACAGATGGAAAAATACTTTGGTTCCAAACGCACAGTGTTATGCGCAGCTTTTGTGCACCAAAAAAAATGACAATTTCAGTAACAGGAATTTTCGAGAATAAATCGAGGACTGTATTGAAATCTCATTTAAATGAGAAGTAAAAATAATGGTTATCCAAGCAAGAAATGTTGTATTTAAGAGAAGTATTATAACATGCATAACTCGACGCGACTTTTTGTGATGTGAAAAGTATTCAAAAATTGCCTTGACCCTTGCTTGTAATACCCAAAGAGGTATGCTTCATGTATTGTGTCTTATTTAATAAAGAGTCAGGTCTAATTTTTTGACAAATAAACCACACTATTCTCATTTATGTTCCATCTATTATTTAACAAAATTTTCAGAAAAAGGGATTCGAAAAAAACAGATCTGAATTTTAACAGGATAATCTCTTCTGACACACATCAATAACATTGTGTCATGAGAATAAGATAAACTTCTTCTTATGTGTCATTTCACAAAGGTGAGTATACTTCCAAAGAAAATTGAGATATTAATAGCATTTTGAATCTTAAAGAGAAAACATTGAAGATAATATATCAACAAACTGCTTCTTTGTGATTTTTTGAATGAATTCAGTGCACTATTACGTTCGAAATAATAAAAACGTGATTTACCTACAGTTACGATTATTCTTGTTGCTTTCATCGATAATGTCGTTTGCCATTGCTAAGTACATAGAATAGTAATGCGACTGATGACACGTTCGGCTTCGTTGTGTATCACAAATTTCTATCAGATTTTATTTCAAAGTAAACAATTTGAATTGACATTATTAGCGCTGAGTACGAAAAAGATTGAATTTATAAATCATAGAATCAGCTCAGATACACATTCGTGGATATCGACTAGTACTGTTTGTCCGCAATGTCGACCGATGCATTCACTTTGTTGAATTCTGTTAAGTAAAATGTCATGATCTGAAACGTAAATATGTTACACATTAACAGAACTTTTTCAGTTATCGTTTTGTTTGCATCCATCGATGCTACGAAAACATCAATCTTTTCAAGAATTTTCTACTTCTCTTTTCTGATATGTTGTTCAAGAAAGAGAATGACAACATCGACGGACTCAATATTTTGAATTCGGGTAAATCTATGCAAAGTAATAAAAAGTCCACTGATATAATACAATGAAATTTTCATCGATCACAGTCATTTGAAGTCTTAATGTTAATTTACGCTTGGTCACATATATGAATGTGGTTTAATACTATAGAAACCGTTTGGTTAGTTACAAATACACCTTGATGCATAAGACATATTCAATGATAAATTTACAGTATGGTGGTAAGCTACTCCTAAGAGCTGATGTCGTTATCAGTATTTTAGAAAAAGGGTTTTATTGAGTCAGAATATATACACAAAAGAAGTAAGCAAAAAATGAAATTACTTTCGATACGTGAATTACACAATTATAAATGATAAATACATACATAACAGCATGCCCATAAGTAAATAGAATAATGTCGGTTTCTGCACTAAACCTTCGTTAAAGTTTGAATTAACAATAAATGCTCCGACTGTAATTGGACTACTGTTATATCGAGGAAATGTATAGAAACGTTGTTGTGATGGAATCCAAAGTGATGTTCTTGTTGTTGGATCAGCAGGAGTGTTTTGTAATTGTTTTAAATAACCATTTGAAGTGTTCAATGAATAGGAACTAATAAAACTATTACCACTAATATATAATCGATTGTTGATATTATCAAACCATAAATCGTCATTATTATTGGGCAATGTTGAACTGTTAGAAAACGATTGAAAAAGTGTTCCATCAGGTCGAAGAATTGAGAGAGAATTCGGATTTCGACATACAACATAGATTAGATCCACAGAATCAATATAGGCAAGAGAAGTATCATCAACACATGAAGATGGCAATTGTAACAGCTTTATGGTGGTTGTTGTATTGGAAAGAGTAACTACCGCCACGGCACCAGAATTATTTCCTGGTGTAGCTACAAACAATCGACGATGGTTAAGATCTGGTATAATTTGTTCTACACCTGGTAAGCCCGTAACCGTCGACATGGAATTACATCGAAGAAAACTTAATCCTGTGACATTAATACAATCAACACTAGATCCATTGAAAGCAACGTATAACGAATCTGTTAATACATCATAAGCCATATTATCAGCATGCGGGTAGCCAGAAATATTTGCCAACAGGGAATGATTTATTGCCCGAACTACCACATAGCCATCAACGGTATAAGCATACAGATTGTGACCAGTCAAAAAGACAGGAGTTCGAGGTGCGTATGCATAAATGTAGTGTGTTACATTAGGTGGTGTAACAGACATATTGACAGCAGTAATATAATTATCGAATGAACAACAAGCGTACATTGTTGTCAGATCATCACTCATTACTGCATGATCAATGCGACTACAGTTAATTGTAAACTGTTGGCTAGAAACAGAGATGAATGGAATCATAGGTATATCAGCCTGTATAGGAACAACAGTTAATACAAAAAATAAGAACACCACAATTGCCATGTTTAAAAACATTTGTCTTGAATTCATTAAAATTTGAAATACTGTTAGATATGTAACCGCTATTTTTCCAACAAATAGATTTAATAAGGATTCGATTTCCTTAAATGTTTCTTTAAATATCGCGTTTATATTGTACAGTAAGTTTACATCTGTTTCGGATATACAATGCTCGTTTCTTTTTGTTTAATAATGGTTCCTGGCGTGTCCTTAAAAAAAGAAACAAGAGGTAAAGATCCAGTTTCACAATAGAATCAGTTACGGTCACTTATTTAAGTAATTATTCAGTAATTTATTCTATACTAAACTAGCTGTACAAATTTTATTTACCTTCAAAACACTCTCTACTTTAACTAAATCATTTTTCCCGACAAGTCCCAACATTTTTCAAAAAGTTCTATGAGTCAGTTTTTGGATTATAAAACGAAGGCTTCTAATGGACAGAAGCAAGAATGCATTCAGTTTGAACATAATGATCTCCGCTGTACCTCAATGAATCAAGCTTTCGTGCAAAATAATATTTGATCGCAAGCTTTTCATGTATAATCAAATGAAACTGTATTTCGAACGTTTTCTAGAAAGAAAATAAGACAAAAATGCTTGAAAAAAGTAAATTTCTAATGGACAAAATGTTTGATCTATAACAAAGTTTCTCCAAATTTAGTTTGTATGTTTGATCGAATGAAAAGGTATATGGATTCTCAAGTACGTCCTAAGTATAGCTGACACATTAGTTACTAGTATTCGATTCTCAGAATTCGTTTATTTAATCCCGTTATGACATAGCGCATAAACAACGCAGTAGGATAGTTCTGCTAGGATTCAAGCACTTTATACAAGACAGATAGGTCTTCATTTTTGCGGAGGAAATCGATGTAATGCTGATCGATTTCCGGTGGAATTATCCAGAAAAAATTTTAAGTTATGCATAAATTATATGGACAGTTCATTCGAAAGGGTAATTTAGCATTTTTGTAAAGCATCTGTATTTAACAACATTACCTTTCTCTTTCTTCCGGCAGAATAAGTCGACATGAAAAGAAAAAATATTTCTTTCTTTTAAATATTAATTATTTTTGGTTCATGCCCAAACTACCCACACTTTTATCCAACCCACCACCTTTGAAGATTCTTTGATCTCAATTTGAAATCAATAAAAAATGTTCGGAGTTGGAGAAGTAGCGCTAGTTCTTTATGTACAAACTGCTATTCTGTTGCTTATCTTATTATAAGATTTATAGAAATGAATGTAACATATTGAATGCAGGGAGTGCTATTGAAAAGTATAAAGATAATTACCCGACATACACAGCCAAAGGTAAACCAAAATTATTCATATTCTCACAAATATGTGTAATTTTACATAACGATTTACTTGATCTGTCGCCTTTATGTCGAAATATCTGTTGTTCTATTTTATATATCTAATAGAAACAGTTAGTTTTGATAGTAAACAGTTTATTTTTGTTGAATATTGTAAATAATAAATACTGTATAAAATAAAATATTATATTGTTAATCCCAAAAGTGCCTTTTGGGTTCACCATATTTTATTTTGGAAATTTACTAAATTTGATAATTTTACATAGCATAATAACCATATTAATCCCCATTCTAAACGTTTGCTTACTTACGCATATGGTTGTAAATTTGGTTTACATGCACACATTATTGGTATTGTAACCAAACGTACAGTACAGAACCATAATTCATCAAATGTTTGCCGTGATACTGTTATAAGCCTTACAGTGAGAGAAAATGTTCAATTATTGACAAAATATTAAACATTAAAGGTAGCCCCTTTCGTGCGAGAAAAACTTGGATTTTGAGCCAAAAGTGTTACATTGTATATTGAAGCCTCCTCTACAAAATGAGATGTATTCGGTCCTTACACAATTGTCCGTTTCAAAGATAACATGTTCGTAAGTTTTTCCGTTGGCGTCTGTTGAAATTCCGTTTTTGAAATTTTTTTAATTTCAAGTCAAAACGGGAAATTTTTTTTGAATGCCTAGTTTTGTAGAACGAAGTGTGTAGTTCATAATGAACCATGTCTCAGATACGCAGCTTATTTTATTACAGGATTGTGGGTGTTGCACAAAAAGTCTGACAAATCGTTGCACTATTCTGTAAATCGCATTAGTCAATAGTCAGTCACTTTTTACTTTTACCAATTGTCATCGAACCATATTATAACCCTCTCCCTTATATTTGAGTGTGCCTAAAAAAATTGTGAAACTAGATTTTTCGATTATTTTATGCGGAGAATAGAATGAGATTAGTTAGAAAAAAATTAATTTCTTCCACATTTATCAGCTTTCTCAATACAGTGACGGAGTGTAGCTTCTAGAAGTAACGTAGAAAAAAATGACACACATTTGTGAGAATATGAATAATTTGGTTTTGGTATATTTCCACATAAAGGTGACAGATGAAATAAATATTGTATCATTATGTAAAATTACACATATTTGTGAGAATATGAATATTATGGTTTACCTTTGGCTGTTTATGTCGGGTAATTATCTCTATACTTTTCTATAACACTCCCTGCATTCAATATGTTACATTCATTTCTATAACTCTTATAATAAGATAAGCAACCGAATAGCAGTTTGTACATAAAGAACTAGCGCTACTTCTCCAACTCCGAACACTTTTAATTAATTTCAAGTTGAGATCAAAGAATCTTCAAAGGTGGTGGGTTGGATAAAAGTGTGGGTAGTTTGGGCATGAACCAAAAATAATTAATGTTTGAAAGAAAGAAATATTTTTTCTTTTCATGTCGACTTATTCTGCCGGAAAAAAGAGAAAGGTAATGTTATTAAATACAGATGCTGTACAAAAATGTTAAATTATGTTTCGAATTACGAAAAAAATATCAACCTGAGTGTAAGATGTAGCAGAACATATTGCCGTTCTACTATTTCTGCAGCCTCCTAACATCTTAATTGATTGTGTTGGTTGAATGGATAATTGAGAGAGATAATGATAGAGCAGAAAGAAGCAAAGCACAAAAGAACACTAGACAGCTGATGGAATCGTACACTTGAAGTTTGAATTCAATAAATGCAAAGAATTTACTTTTATACTAAATTATCCAAAAGCAAACTCTGAGGTTAGTTACTCTATTCTTCCTCTAGCGGGTAGATGTTAGTATTTTAAATGCTCTAAGAGAATGGAGTATTTTCCATTTGAGATTTAGGGACAGGAAGTGAAAAGCTAAAATTGGCTTCAAGAGGTCAAACCTATTCAATAACTGTTTGAAAAAACAAATGGTTTTCTTCGAATCTTTTGTGCTTAAGACTAGCCGAAATACGTAAGCCTCGAAAGAATATTCATTATTCACACTATAGCAAACTGTTTTATTTATAATGAGTAAAGAATATTCGAATAATGAGTGTACGAATACACGTCAGAAGAGAAAGAGAAAAGAGCTTAATACGTAACGAACGTAATACTTGAAGAACGTAACAGTAGTTTTCTCTTATATGTTTTGAACGAAGAAACGTAAGAACCAATGAGAAGGGAACTTCTTACGTTTGTTTCGTAAGGAGCTCATTATTAGGTTTAGTTGAACTACTTTCGTCAATACTCACTCATAAATCAGTGATAGTATAGTTTGCCTTTTCGGAATGAGAACAAACGGAACTAAGTTATATGAATAGTCGACTATTCCTAATGAGATATAATAATGATATGAAAAGAAAATAATAACGATACGAAAATGAGAAAATTCATCCTTCTGTCGCTTCGTATACTTCACATTAAACGTATTCGTTTGCGCATGCGTAAATAAATCATACCCGTTAAGATAATAAAGCATCTTTATTGAATTATTGCCGGTTGATTGAGAGAGATTAGAAGAGAATAGAAACGAACAAAGCGCAAAAGAGCACATCCCGATCTCTTGCAGGTATTTATAATGTCAGGTACTTCCAGTAGTGACCAGAAAAGAAATCACGCGAGAACGTTCTCAATTCTACGGCTGCTTTCTTCACGACAAACAGTTTTTCGGAAGTAGTTTTTGACGCTGATCACCTACAGGCTATCCGTTTGTCATCTTAAGCTACTCTTACGAGGGAACCTCCCGAGGTGATAAATCGCTTTTTGATCGACATCTAGTGGGTTATAGGTTATCGACCATGCTGATTCCGAATATGACTATAGACTTTCCCATAGCTCTTCAAAGATCCAGTCTTCTGGAAAACCAGTTTTTCAGAAACGCCAAAAAATAACCCAAGCCTTTCTTAATAATGTAGAATTGTAGCGCGCAAATTTCTGATTAAAATGAAACATCCCCCAGCTCTACATGACCTTTCTTTGCAAGTTATAGAATTTATAAGAGCCCTAAATTGTTCATTGTCAGCTCAAAGGTACAGAAATAAGAAGGAAAAAATTGATTTAGGACTCTTCTTATAAATTCTAAAACTTTGCACAGAAAGGTCGTGTAGAGCTGGAGAATGTTTCATTTTAATCAGAAATTTGCGCGCTACAATCCTACATTATTAAGAAAGGCTTGGGTTAGCTTTGGGGGTTTCTGAAAAACTGATTTTTTAGAAGACTGGATCTTTGAAGAGCTATGGGGAAGCTTGCTGACAATATCTCTCGTGCGACACCAGTATCTAATTTCTCAATCCTCATTGAGACGCAAGAAAATCTGGATAAAAGGCCGATCGCAGAGCTAAATGTTGAAAAATGCTGTTTCATGCCATTTTCAAATAATCCTTCATCGTTAAAAAATTTCGGTACTAGTTGTTTTATTTGATGATCGCGATTGTATCTTAGATGAAGTGTTATTCACAAAATTTCATTTGTACTTGTCAGCAATGTCTTTACGGATCGATTTGTTAGTTCACTAGCACTGATTATGCACGCACTGTCCTTAAATCTTATTATAGGAACACATATTCAGCCGATCGTGTCATTGTCACTGCAGGTTTTTGTCGTCAGAATGCGTCCGTTACTGAAAAAAGTGTATAGTTATCAAAACAACAGAATTGATGCATTTGCCCGGTGAGGTACTCATTTTTGAGGAGTTCCTGTAGATTAATTTTTGTTCGGTTAAAGAATAAGAGAATAAGAATTTGTAGAAATAAAAGCAAAAATAAAAACATGCATGATTTTTGAATTAGCGGCGCCTTAACAAACTGCAAAATACATAAGCGTCGATTAAATAAACCAACAATTCAACAAGAAACAAACCAATTAATAACAAAGAAACTATAAATCATGTGTAAAATTTTAAATTTAAAAATACCCAAACATTAATTAAATCACATGATCCCACCTTATATTAGTAGCTAAACGAATAGCTAATGTTAAAGGACGAATAATAACCCTTAAAACCCAATTAAAGAAATTAAAGAAATTAAAACCCCACTATAACCTGACTAGGTAATAAATGCCTGATAAAAATAAACACAACCAACCCTCAGTCACAAGAATTATATTCTAACAACTATGGTTACAGAAAATATTAAAACAACCTCAAACTTTATACTTAACCCGAAATCCAGATACATAAACCTGTAGTAATTTCTAAACAAAAATAGTATAATTAAATAAACATTAATTATAACGTAATAAACAGCGGTATATAAGAAATTCAATACTCACCCTAATCTCTTTAAAAACTCCTAAAACCCTTTCGAGAAAAATCTTATTAAAACCACTTAGACTCAACTTAGTTAAAAAGAAACTAAAACGATTACAACACCAAAAAGCAAAAAAAAGCAAAATCACTATAACGCAACGATACTATACCTTTAACAAATAAATAAAACAAAAACCTAAAATAAAATAAAACCAACATTAAAATAAATCTCTAATACGACAAATTAGCATCATAAAACTTAATGCTTATGAATAAAAATTAATTATCAAAAAATTAAACAAAATTAACCATATAATAAACAAAAAGCGTAATTTTGAAATAATGGTTTAAAATCTAATAAACGCAAAGTATCAAAAACAAATCTTAAAACGTAAAGAACCAAAAGACTTATACAAATATATTGTAGTATCTATCTATAGCCACAATATAAAAAATATAAGGCATAAAAAGAAAAGCAAATAAAGAATCATCCCCTAAAGTAGTTAGATAGCTCTCAAATAAACCTAAATCTTACGCATGAAAATATAAAGGAACCAAAACGATCAATAAAACCAACAAATTAACATTACCTCAAAGAAAATTAACCAACGAACAAGAAATATACAAAACAAACACTACAATATCAGTCAAATAAACTAAAATTAATAAATACTTCAAAAACAACTTGTCTTTTGGCAGAAAAACAAACTAATACACACCAAACTCAAAGAGCTTATTAAGTAAGAAAAATAATAAACAGATATGTAAATTCAAACAATTATTAATAACAAAAAATGAACTCTAAACTCATTAAATATTACCATAAAAATAATATAGTTCGACCAGTCCACGTAACGGTAGCTTTTTTTGGCAACTTTTAGAAATTTTTTTCCATCGTGGAACTGAAATGAACACATCAAACCGGATACAGTTTTTCACACTGTTTATGAATCTGGTATTATTGGTTGAAGAAAACTTACTTTTAACTTCAAAGACTCGATTTTACATTTTTGGAAAACAGTATTTTTGATTTACTCACCTAGGCACTATGTCGAAAAAGATTTAAAAACATGTCATTCGACAGAGAATTGGATTCACCACAAAATTATGAGTTTGTTGTAAAGTTTGGATGAAAGATGTCGGAGTTATGAGTCGTTTATGTTTCAAATTTGTCAGACATAGTGTACAAGCTCCACAACTGACAGGAACTTGATTCTGGCATAGTTCGATAGCCTATATACCTAGCACTCTCTGGAATATATCAAGTGTTCTTATAAGTCTTTACGGCTTAAAAACACCTGATCATTTCTCAAAACATTATTATGTCACGACAGTTTATTCGACCTGCAAAGGCAAATTTTTGAATTTTCTTTTTCTCCACGTGTAGCCTATTAAGTAGGCTACTTTGCGGTGTTGAGGCTTTTTGTGGAACCTTTCTTTGCGCGAAGTTTTCACTGTCTTTAGACTAAGGCCGAAGTTGAAGTCATCAAATTGATAGATGAAGACATTTTAGTATAACTTTATTTATTAAAGTAGAGAATATGTAAGAAGAAAGAAAGATAAGAATAAGAAAAAATGCAACTCAATTCTATTCGGTATTGAATGCGTGTAACGGTAAGAAGAGAATTGAACGCATGTGGACTGATAAAAGACAAACAGATATGAAAGAAAAGAAAAGTGAGACGAAATAGAACAACCGAAAGATAAAAGCAGCGAAAATACACTAAATGATGACAGAAAAGACGCAGTGGATGCGCGTATGATATCAAAATGACAGGTACTAATATTCAGAAACAATGTTTAGTTTTAATGCTTTCCATAACTAGACGCTCGTGGCGACGACTTCACACGGACCTAAACAGCGGTAACGGTGAGAAGAGACGTCCAACGAACCTAAAAGATTTAAGAAGAGAGAACGAAAAAGAACATTGTCACTATGAGTTAGAGCAATAGAAAAAATGCATTATCATCGTGAGAGAGACCACAGCTGCGTATATAAACAATGATCTGTATTGTCACCATCATTTGATATCGGTTCTCTCACACGAATAAGCATCCTACTTTTAACGAGATACTCTCGCGACTCCTTGGAAATGAGCATGTCTCGTACAAGTACTGCCTCGGACGCCATCGAACCATTCCACATTAACATACCACAACCGGCTCTAGACGATCTCAAACTTCGTCTCAACTTGGCGCGCTGGCCTGAACGCGAGACAGTTAGCGATTGGGCACAAGGTGTTCCTCTTGATGAGGCTCAAGCGTTGATCGATTACTGGCGTACACATTACGATTGGCGCCGCTTCGAGAATCGAGTTAACAAATTGCCTCACTTTCGAACAACAATTGATGGCCTTGGCATTCACTTCATCCATGTCAAGTCGAAATATGACGATGCTCTACCTTTACTTCTCACTCATGGATGGCCTGGCTCGTTCATTGAATTTTTTCACACGATTCCACTCCTCACCGATCCCATGGCGTTCGGAGGCAAAGTGGAAGATGCTTTTCATGTCGTCATACCTTCACTTCCTGGCTTTGCGTTCAGCGATAAACCAACAGAGAGCGGCTGGAACACCGTGCGCATTGCTAAGGCGTGGATCGTGTTAATGCAACGTCTCGGCTACCAGAACTGGGTTGCTCAGGGTGGTGATTGGGGAGCTGGCGTGACAACGATACTTGGTCACATGCGTCCACAAGGTCTTCTCGCCATTCATCTCAACTGGCAATTTGTTTTTCCTGAGAAAATACCTGAAAAACTTTTGCATGACGAACAACGGGCAGTAGACGGCGCTAATAAGTTCCTCACAGATGGATCGGGATACTTCCATGAACAGTCCACAAGACCTCAGACGATCGGCTATGCACTTAGTGACTCATCTGTCGCTCTGGCCACGTGGATCTACGAGAAATTTCATGCGTGGACAGATAACAAAGGTAATCCCTCCGATGCTCTTCAACTCGATGAAATGTTAGACAATATTACGCTGTACTGGTTGACGAATACCGGCACGTCTTCGGCTCGCATCTACTGGGAGTGTCAAGCTGCAGGGGCAGTGCGCTTCGCAGGCCCGAAACTCGATTTGCCTGTAGCCGCCAGCGTCTTTCCACACGAAATTTATCGAGCTCTCAAGAGCTGGGCTCAACAGAAGTATTCGAACTTGATCTACTGGAATGAACTCGAGAAGGGAGGCCATTTTGCGGCCTTCGAACAACCTGAACTCTTCACTGAAGAACTGCGCGCCGCTTTTCGCACTCTTCGACATGCCTGAGAATATGTCGTGCACTGAACTATTTTCCTTTTATTAGACACTTTTCTGTAGGAAAACGTGACGTCTCATTTGCAACCGTTGCTCACAAAAAGAAATTTAAAAAAATAAATAGTAACGGTGCACCCACCGTTGGATCGATTAGAGGAAGTTGCGAGCAGAATGTGGTGATTCTGAAGGGGTAGGCGTAATCGAAAAAAGTGCAAGTTCAAAATATTATTTTGCTGAGAATCAGCGCCGCCTATAAATAGCAATTAATCGTCGGCAATACCCGAGACAAAATGTTTTTGTAAATTCTTCTGGAAATCTTATCCGAATCTTATAATAATGTTATACAGGAAGACGCTGGAAAGTGGCACGAATTTCGTAAGAGCCTTGTAAGAGATTCGTAAGACCTTCGTAAGAAAGTTACAAGACTTTTCACGTTATTCTTATCTATCTTGATGTGACTGTAATAACTTGCTATCCGATGGCGACTCATGTGAGTACTATATAAAAGGTTCTTTTCTGATAGCTACTAGTGCTTTATCAGGACAGGTATTTAAAGGATTTTGGTGCATACTACTAGTACTCGAGCTGCTCTATCGCCTACCACTTACGAGGGAAGGTCACCAACTGCCACCTCGCTTTTTAGTTCTAAGCTAGTGGGTAATAGGTAAAAAAATGTGCTGAATCCGAATATGACAATGGTTTGGGCCGCTAGACCTCCAAAGACTGGATTTCTATAAAACCAGTTTTCCAGAAACTCCAAAAACTCTTCAAAACTTTTCTTAATAAGTTAAAATTGTAGCACGCGAAATTCTGATCAAAATGAGACATTGCCCAGCTCTACATGACATTTCTTTGCAAAGTTATGGAATTTACAAGAAAAGCCCTAAATCAATTTTTTCCTTCTTATATTTGTAGCTTTGAGCTGGCAATGAACGTTTGGGCTTTTCTTGTAAATTCCATAACTTCGCAAAGAAATGTCATGTAGAGCTGGGTCATGTAGAGCAAGTAAAATGATTCAACAAAAACTGCATCTTCTCGCGTCAGAAAGCAAAATATCTCCACAAGAACATATTTCCTCCTAAGAAGCTCGAGGTTTCTCCACAAGAACTTCAAGTTCTGTGGAGAGAAACTGAAACGTCTCAACAAGAACTGCATCTTCTCGTGTCAGAAACCAAATTTTCTTCACAAGAACATACTTTCTGCTGAGCAACTCGAGGTTTCTCCATCAGAACTTCATCTTTTCTCCGGGGAAACGAGATGTTTCTACACAGGAATTTCATCTTTTCTCGTCAGAAAGCAAAAGGTCTTCACCAGGACTCCATATTTTCACCTGAGAAACTCGGTGAATTATTGTATTTTCTTGTTATTATTACATAGAGTTAGAGATCGAAACAGCGTGTTATAGTGGCATTATTAATCGACATTGGTATACATGGATACAAAATGAATTTCAAAAATTAGGCATAGAAGAAGAACATTCTGTCTTCGTTCGTTATTGTACATTTTCCCAAATCAAACTTTAAGTATTTCTGTGATGAAAAACAAAAATTTATTAGGATAACAAAAATGGAACTTTTTATTCTATTCGCTTCGTCATTGAGCAACGTTTCCGATTCGATTCTATTATCTTTTTTTCATCCACAAGACTATGGTTTCTCGATAGGCAGTCCGTCAGTAGTGATCTTAGCGAATTTATCCACTGATAAAACTTGAAAATGAGAAATATTTGGTACCAGTGAACAATGAACGATTAAGCGAAGCTCCACCACAGCATCGATTGTAAGGTAAATTTTATTTTATTTGTATTCATGTCTGCTTCGAAAAAGCATACAAAATAACCACTAACCCTGTAATAACTCTTTCTGAAAATTCTTAAGAATTACACGGCTTGCCCACGGAACTAGAGACTTTGCTGATCAAGTTTTTGAAAAAATTATTTTAGAGTAGAACTGAAATGAACTTATCACTATATACAGTTTTGGCGCTAATTACGAATCTCACATTATTTTTTTAAACAAATTAAATTTTTCCAAAAATCCAGTTTTACATTTTTTGAAAACTGTATTGTCAATTTCCTCACCTAGACACTTTTCCTAATAAAAATGAAAGGCCATACTAATTGATAGAGAATTCGATTCTCTACAAGATGGTGTAAGATCCAACTCCCATTCTCTCATTTATTTGAAGCAAATGAACGGCTATATAGAATACAAAAGTTAAACAAGAGTTGCGCATGAATTACATAAGGACAGAAAGAGTTAGGAAAACCACAGGATGACGCAAGTATTGTGCAAGAATAGAAAGAGTTGCCCTATGAAAAATCTCTGTGCATCACTGTTTAGCCGTTTAGTACCTTGGTGATAAATATGCATCAGTTGAGTTCTCAGCAGTGATAAATGAAAAGATGAAAATTTTTACAATAGGCGCCAACACTGATAAGTGTATAAATGTATAAAATAGTAGATTTGATTTTTAACATAGAAAATTTTTTATTCTTTTCCTAAGTTCTCTCTTGTTATATGTGTCATATGATGAAATCGACGATTGTATGTTGATCATCATTGAAAGAAGTAGCAAAAATTGAAACTTTGATGATCACAAATAAAATCCAAAACTAAATGTATAGTAATTATAGTGATTTCGATTTTGAAGAATCTGGTGCAAAAGCCTTTTACGATATTTCTATTAATTACGTTCTAGGTTCTTGTCGGCATCGATTCTCTTCTTTTTACAAGAT